GTCCTATACATTGTCTTTACTGTGATTTTGTTTTTTCTCTTACACTTAATTTAATTATAGAAACTTGAAATATTTATAACTCCTTCGGCCCTAAAAAAAATTATACTCGCCTATAATGAAAATATAAAATTTCTTACCTAAAAGACTCAAAATCTTTAGTAAGTTGTGATGGGAATTTAGTGTCCGTAAATATGTCCAACAATAGTTCTAAAAATGGTCAAAAAGAAAAAGAAAATTAGTAATTGAGATAGCGTCACTTGTAATTGTATAATCTATTTAATATTTTGATTATCTCATTTTATATTTTGATGTAGACAAAATAAATTTTTTTTTTTTTTTTTAAAGTTATAATAACTTTTGACTCTCACATCAAATCACTATATATTTCTTTACAATCTCAATTTGCTTGACCAGAATTTCATGTCATGTCCCAAATAAAATCATATGAGAACAAAATTGGATGATGATATAGTGTTGAGAAAGAAACAAGAATTGGTCTAATCATATTCTTAATTATAGCGATAGCAATTAATTGGATTGGAAAACCTTTTCTAAAGAAACAAATTGTCCACCTTCCTAATGCTTTGAATCAAGTTAATCTACTTAAGTTGGCTACATTATTTCTGGTTTGGCCCATAAAAGCATTTCTGTTGTTTGAGATTAGAAGGAATACATTTGGGATATTTTGTATTTTTATTTTCTTCTTTTTTTTACTAATTATTATTAGACAAACATGTACATAATTCTCCAAAAATTTTAGCATATTTTTAATAAATATCATATTTTTTATGGATAAAAGATCTTTTTTTTTTATTATACGCTGCAAAATCATACACGTGTATATTATGTTCATTTTTATTGGCAGATTCAGAAATATTTTTTTTCGAGATTAATATATTATTTTAAAAAAAGAGAAGTCAAAAACGTAAATAAATTGAACTTTATGGATATATATATATATATATATATATTGATCCCTCTTTTTTATTAAGTGGATCCACCACTGCTTATCTTTCTAATAAATTAAAAGGAAATCATTTATGTCAATATTAAGAAATTTTAAAAATATATATATTTGAGAATTAAGTTGTAATCAATAAAGTAAATACAATAATGACTTAAGTTAAATTTTATATCGATGATTATATTCAGAAATGAAAATTACCTCAAATAAATGAATTACTCAATTCAAACCAAGAATTGAAGTGTTGACTATATTAAGTTATTAAGATTAGTGAATGCCTCATATTATAAAAGATTACAAGTTCAAATTTTGATATTTCAATCCTAGTTTGAAAATTCTATTATATAAAAAATATCATTATGAAAAATTTAATCATGAAGCTTTTATCTTACTATGTGAGAAATTAAAAATTTAAGTCGTAGTAACTTTTTTTTTTAATATTTGAATTATATCATAAATTTAAATATTCAATCCATAAATCAGAAAATACATTTTCCAAATATATTGGCACAGCTCATAATGTTAAGCACACCACCACACCATGACATCAAGTTGTAACTGAAAATAACAAAAAAATCATCTACAGAAATACAAAATTTAGGGCCTATCTAACATTTTCAATTTCTAAATGATTGTGGTAATAATTCTTAGTCCCCAGCCCCTATTAATAATAAATATTACATACATAAATAATTTTTGAGCCAAAGCCAATTCCAAGGGCCATACTTGTAAATAATTTTTATAATTTTTTTTTTTTTCTTTTGGTTTGTAGAGGGAAATTTTGTTTAGTGCTTTGATTGATTGCTTTTGTGGACACCATGAGACCCATATGGCCCTATTCCAATTTGTGAAAATGACAAGTTTGTTTGTTTGTTTCTTTGCTTATTAATTATATACATATTTTTTAAAAAAAATAATATATTTTGGTGTGTATTTTGTTGGTGATGTAATCCATAATTAATTAAAGGTTAGAAAGGAAATCAAATAGGGGGAGAAGTGGGTGGATAAAAATTAAACTTTGATTAATATTTAATTGAACTTTCAACTTGACCATTTTATATCATGGCTTTCAACTTGATGATAGCAACATTTTCATCCAGAAGATATTTATCACCATTTCCCATATATTATTCATAGCTTTACTCTCCTATACCACAAACAATATAAAATTTTGATTTGGACTGACATTTTAATCTTCCTCTTCCTTTTTTATTTTTTATTTTTTTAACATCATGTGCTATCATTTTTTTTATTTTTTCTTTTGAGAGAGAGCTCAGTTTTTCTTAACAAATATATTTACTTATTATTTGGTAGGACCATAAGTCCATCACAAATGTCTATTTTACAATATTCTACTTATCATGTGCTATTTTATATTTCTTTCTCTAATCTAGGCCGATGAGATAACAACACCTAATTGTTCAAGCCAACAAAAGAACATGCAAGTTGTTATTGTTTTCTATGATCCTATAAGTTATTATTATTTTCTATAATTTTAATTTAAACTTACTGATGAAAAGATTTTATTTAAATATCAGTCTTATCTCTAAACGTAAAAATACATATAAGAGAACTTAAAATAAAGACCCCGCGCTCTTCACATCTTGTACAAAATATAAAAAAATCAACTAAATTACACCATGTTGACAACTTAATAGGTGCTATATTGATTTATTTTTCATTTTGCTGATCATAGTTAATTTTACAATAATGAGGTTTCATATATATATATATAAAGGAAAGGTATTTTTGTTTTGCATCAAAAGAAACTACAATAAAAATAGAACGACCATTTGTGGCCCAATTACTTTTGGAGAATTTGAATACAACTTTTTTTTTTCCTTTAATTTTTTTATGTGTATACGCAACTATTATAGCCTTTTCAAAAATTGGTCTTTGAAACATCTTTTATTTTCTTTTGCTTTTTGATTCCTTATCTTCCTTTTTATCTTTTGTACTAAAATTTTTTTTTTTTCCATAATACTTTTCCATGTTTGAGGGAATTCTTTTACTTTTAACCCCTTTTTCCCCTCAATCCCTTTCTAAATTTGTATAAAATAAATTTCTAAATTTGTATAAAATAAATCGATCAAGCATGACTTGATTCGTCATCTCATGTAGTGTAGAAATTTCGAGTTCAAGAACATCTCACTGTAAAAATTATCACATATTTAGTGAATATTATTCAAAAAAAATGGATGTCCCTCTATTGTATAGTCCACGTGTTCTCCAGATTCATTGGACCTCCTATATATAAAAATTTTGGGATCCCGAGCGGTTATACACAAAAGTCCACTGTTCATCTCAGATTCATGTTGGCCTCGCGATCCACTAACTTAAAATATGATACATACGTAGTATTACAAGTCCACGATATATAATATATAACACTTAATAAATATAAAAGTATACCTCTGGAACAGGTAGAAAATCACAGACATCGACTGGTTCTCTAGAGTGATTATATATATATATATATATATATATAACATTAATAAAATAAATTATACCGTGAATCACACCATTCTCTAATGAAAGTATTTTGATTCCAAACATTCCATTTCCATATTGAGTATATAGAAAAATCTTGACATGGGTGGATAAGCTGTTGAGTCTCTCTCTCTTCATAATCCTAGAGTGAAGCTTAGAAGGCCTTACTAGAGGCCCATGAAGTGAGCACTGTATTATAGATATCTGTCTAAACCTAATGCTTTCAATAGATTTCTTTCAAGATTAGACTATTATGAATATGCTAATCCATATTCCTGCACTTGAGACTTTTGAGTTACAGGCCCAAACTTGGTATCAAAAATATTAGAAGCATTCTTGAGCAATCTGTGAAGATGCCGAACTCTTGTTACCAAACATGAAAATATGATATTTCAAATGAATTACATAAAATTTTGTCAAAGCTCATTAATACCAACATGGCCTTAATCATGTTGCACTCCAATCGAAAAACTGAACAAGAATAAAATAAACATTTTCTTTTACATCAAACTTAATAATATAAATTTTTCCATAAAGTTTTGTGAAATTCTTGCATATCAAACAACGCATAAGCATAAATAAATGAGAAAGTAGTCTTCAAAGACTTGACTTTTATTAGTATGTTTTAGGATAGTACTTTTATTCACAAATATAAGTCAGTTTTATTAGGATGCATGACTGCGCTTATCTGAAAAAAAATGAAGCATGAATGTGGAGATAAATATGACACAGCATTCCTTCCCAATTCCTATGAGAAATGCTTCAACCGAGACTACTTTATATCAAATCTATAAAAAGGTATTAAGAAATGAAAGGTTAAAGAGGGAAATTTCATTAGCAAGGAGATAATGGCAAATCCAGAAGTGCTATTAAATGTTTGCAAACTTCATCATCTTATAGTTTTATGCATACACATGAATACTTCTTTTCCCCATAAGGTAAAGGTGAAAATGATATGCATAATTCTTTTATCTAACAAACAAAGGAGCGCCGATATAAATCTCAACTTCAAACGTGTACTAGAAAACCAACATCTATTATGATTGTACAATGGATAGAGAGAAAGAAAATTCTTGTATGAGAATCCTACATTTATCCTCTAACTTCAAAATTTAGGTATATCTAACCCCACAATGATGCACACTGTATGGTGAAACAAATCGAACTTAATTGCACATTCAAAGAAAAAATCAGTAACAGGTAACTCATTGAGATAAAAAAGACTGTAGTTACTTCAACAAAACCACCATACAATTCCATCAACTGATGAAATTTTATGGAGGTTGTTTCATATAACACAAAATTCCACAAGCATACATCACATAGAGAGTCCACACAAATGCACTCAAAATCAATAATCGAATGGTCATGCTCAATCAAGTTTGAATGTTTTCTGTATTATACCAAGACATAAACAGCAAAATCAAATACTTCTCGATGTGAAACTTCTAGTATTACAACTAACACAATGTCACACAATTTCGCAGCTATTGCCAGTAAAGAAATGGTGCAGGGTAATGTACAGTTCTAAGCAATTAAAACACTCTTAAGAAAAAACATTATTTATTAAACTTGATTATACTTGATATATCCATACAATTTGACTATTAGTCATCAGAAAAACCCAGCTTAAACATAATTCAGTCAATTGAATGCATTCCCATTCAGAAATATTGAATGCCTTATAAAAGCAAAACCTTTAAAATGCATAAGACATCAAAATCCAAATATTTAGAAAGCAAAACTATTAACTCCAGTTTAAAATTCTGAAAGATAAGCCAACATGTCAAAAATTATACCCATTAATTGGTAGGATCCATGGAGATCCCACTTGCACTTCTCTGTGTCCTCCGACTCCTGCTTCTACTCTCATAGTCTTGATCATCAGTGGGCAACTCATATCTACAGACAGGACAAGTGTTCCTTATCCTCAACCAAGGCACAATGCAGTCACCATGATAATAATGACAACAAGGCAACTTGTTTACTTTCTCCCCTTCCAAAACCTCATCTTTGCAAATAGCACAAACTACAGAAACCAAATCCCCACTTTTGAAGTCCACCAATGGAAGATTGTCCACTACCTTTTTCGCAGCTGGTGGACTTCCCCTCCAGTCAATCTCATTATCCACTAACTGCTCTAAAAATGTATCATAATCAGCATCAAACATAACAGAATCCTCATTTAAATTACTATCAAAGTTAATAGCCAACAAGAGTTCCCATTCAGGATTACTTATTGAATCTTCCATTGGTTCCCCTCCCACTTCTTCTATTAGGTTTGAAATACTTGACGAAGACATTGATAATTCCTCAACTAAATCATTTGCCATAATCAAACCTCCACTTCCATTAATTGCTTGATCCAATTCCTCCCACCCAAATCCCTCGTCGAGATTTTCAATTCCCATATAATCATCCATGAAAGTATCGCACAATCTGTTAGAACCCGAAGATTCATTACCTTCATTATCACCGCCAACAGTACCCAAATCAACAATCTCGTTATCAGAATTCGGATCCCTAAGTCCGTCTCGTGTAGCTTCATCACCATCGAACCCAGATCCTAATTCGCCCGTCGTGATCATCGGATTGCGACTTTGCTAGTGCGTAAATGTTCTTTTCCAGAGGCCTTTCAAGAGACTCCCACACCTAAAAGGGAGAGGATTTTGCAAAATTGAGAATGCGAAGTGCTTTGGTATACAAATATATACTACTCGTTCTCCGCGCTCCGAGCAACACGGGCCAATTTATAATTTAATTTGAACTTTTTAAAATTAATTTATATAAAACATAGAGAAATTATATATGCATAAATATATTAATACTTTTATTAAATAGAATATAATTATTATTTTGGAAAGTCAATAATAAAAATAATTGAAAGAGTTTAACAAATTTTAAGGAAATAATAATAATCTTTATTTTTTATTCATAAACTATTGATTATTTGCTAATATTTCATTTATGTATATTGAGAAAAAAAAAAAGAACTTAACTATGCTAAAATGAAGAACAACATAGTTAATAAATGATAAAAAAAGAACATAATGATTGAAATTTCAATGGCAAACTAAAATATAGAAGATGATTAATGATTAATTTAAAAAAAATAAAATTAATATTGTCAAGTGCTGAAACGATAATTTTTTTTAAGTGAATTTTCTTAATATATAATGTCCCAGATTAAATTTGGAATCACCTGTTTAAGGTGAATTTTATAATGACATAAAATTAATTTCAACAAATTTAGTTAAAACGTTTCTATTATAGGCCTACAATTAATTAAAATAGGTTAATTATATACTTTTATCAATTGATGAAAAAATTAACTAGTTAAAATTTTTATATAAAATTTCACAATTATAACCATTTTCAAGTAAATATCCATTGAAGGAGCACATGCACTCGCGTAAAATTAAGACCCCACACGTACGAAGAACACTTACATTTTCTTACAAACAAGTAGAAGATGGAAACTTGTAAAAGAAAAAGGAATTTAATTGATAGATTATATTTATATTCTGGACGAATTTATAATTAACTAAGGACTTAATTGTAATTTTCCAAAGGTCTTTTCTATAATCTTTCACTTAGCTTATAGAGTTATGTCCTGTTACCAATAAGTTTTTAGCTGACTTTTTAGTGTTTTGACCTGTCTTGTACTGTCCGGTAATATAGTATTTAACTTATAATAGCTTTTAGAGGTTAAAGAAGTCTTTTTTTTAGCAAATTTTAAACACTTTAACTTTTAGCATTTCACAAACCGTAATTAATTTTTACTTACAATCATATTCATTGTTAAGAGAGAAGTAGTCTCGGATACTCTATCTTTCAATACATACATATATATATATTACTGAAATTTTTTCATGAAAAGACAAAATAAAGAAAATAAAGCAGTAATTACGAGCATTTTAACTATTAGTTCTTCAGTAATAGTAAGTATACATAGCTATCAAACAAAATAGCAAATGAAGCAAAACCCAACCCCTCAACGGAATATGGAAGCAACCCATAAAAGGCTAGCCCACAATAACATTACTAAGCAGAAAACCATGGAAATAACAGAAAAGAAATAGTAAAACTTGCCAATCTTGGGCTTTCTTTCCTTGAAATATATAGAGCAAACAGAGCAATAACAAGAACCCGTGAGAAAAACAAGAAACGCATAGAAAATACCAGAATGTCCATGAAAAATGACAGTTGGTATTGGCTTCTCATCTATATATTCCATAGGCAGGTTCAAGATCAGAATTGCAGTGAAGCAAGAGACAGTAAAAATAACTTCATCTAGATGAATTCTTCTTAGTCCTCTATAAAAACCATCTCCTTTTTCTGTTTGATGATCATCTGGTGCTTTGATGTTCATGATTGTGTGTTATGTTATGTATGATGGTTCTGGGTAAATATATAACCTGCAGGTCTTGCATATTTAGTCCTGACTGAGAAATTTCCTAGTTGTTGAGGAAGAAATAGTTAGAGAAAGTCACCTAAATTAATTAAAGTCTAGTATGACATATGTATATTATTCTTTGTTTCTACTTTGATAAAGTCGAAAAACGCGTAGATTGAATTTGAAATTTCTAAGTAGAAATTGGAGCATGCATGACTTGAACATTGAAAGAGATGGACATACAAAATTCAACAAAAGATGCCATTTATTTACATTTTTTTTTTCAATAATTCAAATCCTCAATTATAAATTTTTTTTCCAAAAATCAAAACAGAGAAAATTAAGAAATCAAGACACCATAAATATAATCAACACGCTGAATTAGCAAGGATGAGAATCATCCTTTCTTGGTTAATAATGTTGTCGAGAAGCATAATATTTTCTAACGCATATATCAGGTTAAATATTGCAGAGTACATCCTTAAAAAAAATGTTCAGAACAGGGAATTAATTTATGAACACATAAGCTAGTTTAAAAATATCTTAACCGTAAATACCAAAAAAAAAAATTGCAAATAGAAATAGTACCTACCCTAGTGGTAAATTGTAAATTTGTAGTAGAAATATTCTTTACCTCCTTATTTTAAGATGGCCTTTGCTTATAATCTAATAATCTAATTATAAAACATTCTTAAATAACAAAATATATGAGGAAGAATATTCTTTTACCCATTTATTAATCCCAAAGGCATAATCAAATTTGTCCAAATGCAAATGGTTTAACAATTAATTAAGAAGCAATTACCAAAGTAATTACCCAAAACCACATGCTGAAGTTTGATGATTAAATTGATAATTGAAGACATTGGACTTGGAGAAACAAACTTTTAATTTGTCCTTAGATTGACAATTTCATTGAGCTTAGAGATTTTAACCTATGGGTTTGAGTTTTAACCCCTTCAAAGCCAAAAGAGCGTTAGTTGAAACCAAAGCATCTGCTCCATTTAAAGAGGGTATAAAAGACGCTAATGGCACAAGAGAAAATTTCTCTTGTTTAGTTTTAATCAAACAAGAGCCCCAACACTAGCAGCCATGAGGTAGAGATGGAAGGCTTAAGCCAAGAACAAGAATCATCATCAACTACAAGAAAAGAACTTGAAATCAAGAAACAAGCAATCCCAATCAAGAAGAGCATTTTTGAAAGATGGGCCAACATATTTGTTATGATGCCATTTACGTTCATAATGTTGCCTTACGGGCTTTAAATGGAAACCCTAATGGATCTTCCATTGATCTTAGCTCCTCAACTTACCATGTCTTCTTCTTCCTTGTGATGCTAAATTTCTATGCTTCAATCATCGGAGTTCTGCTATGGCATGTCTCTCCTAAGGTTGACCTAAAGGGTTTCACCTAATGGCATTTCTATGTGTTCTCCTTTCATCGACTCTACAGTTTTGTGCAATTCTTCCAAGTGAACTCAAAGGGCTACCATGGATTTTTATGGCAGTTGTGGTTCTGATAGTTGCAGGACTACTTATATACGAGCTCTCTTCACTGTCCAAGAAGTTTTCACTGGAATAAAAAGGTTCAATTTAAAGATAGCACGTGAGGCTGGCTAAATGAAAATAAGTAAACTACAGTTTAATAATCAATTTAACATATAGTAATTCCATCCAAAAAGTGTTATTTTCTTTGTTAAGTACTCTATGATATTTGGCTATTCGATCCTTCATAAATCACAATTAATATATAGTTAATATTTAGTCCCACACATTTACTACTGCTATTTGGTCTTTCATTTAATGGCAAAACGAATAATTGAATAAAAATATTATCTTCTTTTCATAATACTTGTCACATTTGAAAAAATAATTTGTTTCAAAATATTTGTCACGTTGTGGTTTCAATGAGTGATAAATCTTTTTTTTTCCATGTTTATCCTTTGTATATTGTTATTCATTGTATGTGTCGTCTGGGTTATTGATATATTAACTGTCAGGTCTTGCATCAGAATTCTAGGTCACTTTGACTGAGAAATTTATACTACTTAAGTTTGTTGAGGAAGAAAATCGTTAGAGACATAGTCACTACTCATTACTAATGAGTTAAAAGTTTACTAAAGTATATGACTATATGTATATTATATCTTTAGTTTCGTACTTTTTGATGAATTAGTCGGAAATAAAACGGGCGTTAAGATTTGTAGATTTTGAAAATTTTCTAGAAGATCGAAAATTGCAGATCATGCTTATGACTTGTAATTTCATGAAAGAGAATGGACCATTTATGTACAAAATTCAACCAAGTATTGTCCATTTTATTTTCAGTTATTCTTATGTTTTCTTTATTGAGTATCTAATCACTATTGTATTCAATTTACTATTTATTTTTTTTTTCTTCACGCATAAATTCAAACACTAATTAGATGTATAAAATAAGAAATATTATAGACATATATGTATACCCTTAATTAATTAATATCAAACGACTGCTGATAATTATATTTTAGCGGATAGAATCTATTCCTTTTCCTTGAGGGTTAATGTGGTTGTGTCGAGAATCTAATATGGTTTTCAACTGCATTATTTATGGAGTGTATTTGATAATATTGACCAGAGTACATCCTTAACAAAAAATGTTTCAGTTCATCAAAGGCGAAATTTTTTTAAATTGATAGCAACAAATAAGCTAATGTTTTTAAACTATCATCTTATCCGTTGGAGGAGTATCAAAAATATAAAATTGCAATATGAATGTTAGTCGACCATTTTTTTTAACCTAAGATGCGTATATGGTATAAATTTGTAAGTAGTATCAAATTCTTATGTTATACCTATTTCTTATCTTTGAAGTGTGTCCTTTGACTTATATAACTATATTGCTTTATTAGATATTTTGATGTATTATTACATTTACTAATAATGGAAGACTAACAAATTCGATATAAGTATGAGTGGGAAGAATTATCTTCCTTTTTATCGCACTCGCTATTAGTATTAAATTACTCGATTCCCAAATAGGGTGCACTGAATCAATATCTTGGTCCAATTATAGTAGCTAAATATAGGTTTGCAACAATTTAATTTAAGGATGCAGATATCAGACTCACGAAAGTAATTTTACCAATTCAACTATTGTCTTCGAGTTTGCTATTTGACTTACATTGATACAATATATTTGATACGCCATTGTGACTTGTTGTATGGAAAACAATTACTTGGTATTTAATATTGTGTTTCCTCTGATTATGTAGTTGACATTATTTGATTATTCACATTGAGCTGTTATGTATGATTTTTATAATAC